GAAGGCACACATGAGAAGGTCCATGAGAAGGCACACATGAGAAGGCACATGAGAAGGCACACATGAAAAGGCACAGTGAGAAGGCACACATGAGAAGGCACACATGAGAAGGTCCATGAGAAGGCACACATGAGAAGGCACACATGAGAAGGCACACATGAGAAGGCACACATGAGAAGGTACATGAGAAAGCACACATGAGAAGGCACATACCGAGAAGGCATACATGAGAAGGCACACATGAAAAGGCACACATGAGAAGGCACACATGAGAAGGGCCATGAGAAGGCACACATGAGAAGGCACATGAGAAGGCACACAAGAAGGTCCATGAGAAGGCACACGTGAGAAGGCACACAGGAGAAGACACATGAGAAGGCAAATTTGCAAGAGACTTAGAATGTGTCAGAATCAATAGAATTTGTGACTCAATGGTAGAGTTAGGAAGTAGACCTCTCTATGCCACCCATGTCTTTTCTGATGGTGACTTTCACCTACATCAAGACAAGGGGAAAAGGAAAGAGGGTGACGAGTTCTCTTTCAAATCCACTGTGGCTGACATTCTGTAGAGTCACTAAGAGGAGGACAGGGCAGACAACCGAGAAAATACACATCTGGGCTCAGTGCAAGGGTCCACACTAAAGACAGAGGTGCAGAAGTCAACAGAGGGGTGACTATAATCACAAATACCAATGAGACTGCCCAGTGACGTCACAAGACATTAAGCTAGAGGAGAAAGCCCAGAAGACACACACATTTAGGCTTGGGAAGACATCAAAGGAGACCAAGAAAAAACTATTAGCACTGTGGCCAAGAGCATGGAGTTCAAAGAACCGAACGAAGAGTTTCATGAGGGAAATGACTTACTATTATATTAAAGGTAGAGAATGACAAAATAAATGCAAACCAAATAACCACAAACTGGGGACAGAGAGACAGCTCAGTAGTCATTTGCCATGAAAGCCTGGCAACATGAGCTTAATCCCCAAAACCCATGGTGGAAAGGTTGGTGGAAACAGAGTTGTCCTCTGACCTCCACACACATGTTATGATGTGTGCACATCCCCACACATGTCATGCAGGTGCACATGCACAGAGAAGAGAGAGAGAGAGAGAGAGAGAGAGAAAGAGAGAGAGAGAGAACGCCAGAGAGCCAGAGAAAGTCACAAACTGCCTGCTATATTTCCAATTAAGAAAAATAATAAAGACTAAAAAAAAAAAAGAAACATTGTAATTTGATTGTGAAAAACTGTCACAGCTTTATGACCAATGTAAGTAACAAAAAAACTGATTTATAAACTATCTTAAGATTCGGTTTGTGATGAAAAGTCAAAGAGATATTAGAAATAATTCATGTGACACTAGCAAACAAGTGAGGAGAGTCAGGCATGGTGGTTCACATCTAATCTCAGCACTTGGGAGTCTGGGACAAGAGGATGACTATATGAGTTCAAGGCCAGCCTGGACTACAGAAACTGACCCTGACTCAAAAAATAGTGGAGGGAGGACGTGATAACAGGGCTAGAGGAATACACGGTGGTCGCCATCTAGAAACAGCATGCAGGGTGTGACAGGCACAGGACTGCCTTCACTACACTATCCAACTTCTCCCAGCAGAGGCCAGACTCCTTTCTTGGTCTTTATTTCTACCTCTTCCCTGGTGGTCTAGTGGTTAGGATTCAGCCCTCTCAATCTTTGCTTCTTCAGTGTCCCTGGACATCTCCACTGTGAAATGTGTTGATTTATGCTCTTCTGTTCCTTCACTTACATCAGAACAAAGCCATTGCTATGTACAACAGAAGAATGAGATAGATTAAAAAAGAAAAAAAAAAGAACTAGAACATCTTTTGTAAGAAATATCACTGATACTAACAATTAGACCAGTTGCTTACGGAGTATGGAAGAGAACTAGGTAGCTGGTGATACTAGGTCAGTGGAGCTAAAGAGAAATCCAGGAATATCATCAAAGGTTTTCTATTTCTGACTTGGGTAATGATCAGGAACAAACCTGAACATGAAAGACCACAGAGTTCTGAACAAGCTGAGTTTGAGTTACCTACATCACCCCAAATAAGGCTGCTTAGGGTGCTCAGTAAAGATATCTAGGTGGGTGATTTAAATCTGAAAGGCATATGACTATCAAATGAGCAAATAGAACAAGGCATGGGGTACCTAGTGAGAAATGCAGCCACCAGGCCAGAATCTTAACAAACATGAGCATAAGAAAAGGAAATGAGACTGGTCAAAGAAGTTCACACAAGCTGAACCAAAATAACTTCAAGGAGATCGAAGCAACAATGCAAAATACTACAGAAAAGTCATGTAACACAGACACTGGGATGCCCATCCTCTGGGATGGCAAACAAAAG